CTAGAAGAGAACTTTCGAACAAGTCTGGGAAATTGGCAATCTAAAAATCTATGGTGAAAAAGAAAAAGGCAGATATTCTCTCTCTCTCTCTCTCTCTCTCTCTCTCTCTCTCTCTCTCTCTCTCTCTCTCTTCTCCCCACCATATGGATCCATATTTAAATGAACCGTAGTCATAGCTACAAGCCTGGCACTTACATACATATTAAATACCAGTTATTCTGAAAGGAGGTTTGGGAACACAGCTTCCTTTAACCCTCCTTGCAGTTTCAGATGGACAATTGGAGGCCCAGAGAGGTTGAGTAACTTAGACAGAAGTGCAGTGAGCCTTACTAGTGATCAAGCAAGCCTCCAAACTCAGCGCCATGTCTATGAGAACGCAGTGTCTCAGTTCTTGAAACTCTAAGGCAGTAGATCTCCATCTTGAGGATGTGTAAAAATCAACTGGATGGGGGGGGTCAAGGAAATCAGAATGATGGGGGTGAAACCCAAGGGTCAGTCTACAGGTGCAACGTGCTCCCCTAAGATTTCGGAAGCAGGTTGTTAGTGGACTAGCCTTTGAACACTGCTTGTAGGGGCATCTGAATGAGGTTTTGGAGTTCGTCGGTATGAATTATTAAGAACTGGCTAGGACCAGCTATTTGGGCAGATCTGCCCCATGAATATCTAATTGCCCTCCTCAAGTGCATCTGTTTCAAAGGACCATTTCTTTGGGTCTTAAACGTCTATTAACATAGACCTTAAAGTTGCAAAATAGCACAGTTTTTAACATTTTTCTCTCCAAAGTTATTGAAAATATTAAGATAAAAGAAAGATTCCTAAAACAGACTTTGGTATACCAAGCCAAGAAATGAAGGTATTAGCAGTTTAATATGTTTTGGACCGGGGAAGGGAGGAAAGGGGGCGCTGAGAGGGGAGAGTTGCATTTGATGCCTGTTTAATTTTAACTCTGCTTTATGAACCCCTGATTTGTTCCCAACCGCTTTCATGATTTCTCCAATTGGTCTCCAGTGGCCAAATCAGACCCGACTCCCCCCTCTCCCCCCACCCATCCCCCCCCACCTGCTTCCTTGTTTTAAAGAGATCTGGTTTTACTTAGATGAATTAAATGTCACTATATTTGTTTCTGTGAATTGTTCCAGCAAAAATTACAGCATCAATGTCTGACTTTAAACGTCTGTAAGACTGTCTGCCTCCCTGGGCTATTTATAGTTGCCTTTTAAACACTCTAATAAATGCTTTTAAATTGCTATTGGTTTGCTTTCCGTTGATGCAGCTTTAGAATTGGTTCACTTCAACAGCACCAGCTGAAAATACCTGAGTTTCTGTTTTGCAAAACTAACGCTTGTTCATTGTAAAAGTTTAGAAAATATAAACGAGAAAACAGAAGCAAAAGGAGGAGAAAAAAATAATGATAACAAACAAAGGAGGCCGCAATTAACATTTTGTTATATGTCATTCTGTCTTTTCTCCAGGCTTAAATCTAGTGAAACTGAAAAAAATGAATATTGTACAAGTGGTTTTATGGTCGTGTTTTATTTTTTTCCACTAAACAATGTGTTTTCATTTTTCCTGTCATTCTTTTACTCCATCGCTTTTACTGGCTACATTAAAAGTATTGAGTAATGATATGATTGTACCATTACCTATAAAACAATCCCACATTTATTAGCTGGCGAGGTCATAGTCAACATTTCCTACTGCAAATAGTCCTACAAATTAACCATGTCTCTATGCTCATCCGTGATCATTTCTTTAGGGTAAATAGCGACATGTGGAATTGCTGAATTAGAGGCTGTACCAGAGTCACAGACAATTGTCACATAGAGCCAACGTATCTCCAGAAACCGTTCACATTAAATCCATATATATTTGAATGTACCTCCAAAATGACAATGTAATGACATGTATCGGTATAGGGAGAACCACATTGCTAATCATTCAATCATTACTTTCACAAATTTTATTAAATAGTTTTTAGTGCCAAGCACAATTTCTTTTTCAACTCCAGATTTCCAAAGAGTTTTGCAGCATAGTTACATGCAGTCAGCAGTCATTGTACCGAACTCTACAGTTCTAGGAAAGCTTATAAGCAAAAGTTGTAAGTGTTACTTTTTAATAAACAAACAAAAAAACTATGTATGAACTGGCAGTTTGGACAGGGAGAGAGGCAAGATAAATGGAAGGAATTGAGAGCTGGAGTTTGGAGAGCTGCCAGCGTTGACGTTTTAATAGTTCTGCAGGGCTGATACTCTTATAAGACTGAAATCTTGAGAATATTGTGTTGCTCAGTTGGTATTGTTCAATGATTTATTCATTCATTCAAAGTATAATTAATGAGTACCTACATGCCACAGATTGCTCTAGCTGCTGGGGATACAGTGCTAAGTAAGACAAACCTTTTCTCATGGAGCTTACAATCTACTCCATGGGGCCATCCAGCCAACAAACAAGGAATTCAGTCAGGAGTGGTGGTTTTTTTTTAAGTGAATCATGTTAATGAGCAAAAAACAATGGTGTGGGGGAAGGTTTGAGTTTATATCCTCTCCAGACAGGGCCTCTTTTCAAAAGGCGACATTAAAGATAAGATTTCAGGGATGATAAAAAGCCCTGCAGGTAGGAAAGGAAGTGCAAAGGCCCTGGGGCAGGAACATCCTTGTGTGTTAGAGTGGAATTTGGCAAACATTTCCTTTAAAGAGCCACATAGTAAATATTTTTGGCTTTTTGGGCCACATGGCCTCTGTTGCACTACTTAAGTCTGCAGTGATAGTTAGCCTGAGAGTAAGTAGCTATAGACGCTGTATAAACAACAGTCTGAGTGTGTTTAAATAAAACTTTATTTACAAAACCAAACAGTGAATCAGACTGGCCTTTAGGCTACAGTTTCCTGACCCCTGCATTAGTGAAAAAGGCAGCTGCAGTGATGCTAGAGAGTGAACAGTGAGAAGGAGAAGAGCAGGAGATATTTAGCAGAGATGGGCAGAGGTCAGACCATCTGTATAAAGTACAGGTTATGCAATGGACTCTAATTGCAATGGGAAGATACTGGAGAGTTTTAAGCAGGGGAGTGACACGTTTTGATATTATTTTTAAAAAGAGTAGATTAAAGTACAGCGAGGGCAGAAAGAGAAGATCTCTTATGAAGCTGCTGTGGTCCTTTGAAGACGATGGGGGTTTTGACTAGGATGAAACATGACTAGATTTCAGATCTCTTTTGAGGTCGAACCAGCAGGACTTGCTGCTATAGTTTCCATGATGGAAGTCAAGGAGGGTGATTAGGTCATCCTCTTACATATTGGAGATATTTTAAAAATGTAAATTAAACTTTTCTTTTAACTGAGTTTTCTCTGTTTCAAGCAATAAAAACTATTCCTGGTTAGAGGAAGCAAAAGAAAATATTATTGAAAAGATATCAGGTAGCTTTCAGTAGGTATCAAAGGAAGCATGGAGAGAGAGACCCTGATTTGAGCAGAAACGAGGCAAAATGGAAATCTTATCTCCAGGGCAGTGTCTCTAGTAGCTGTGCCCTGTGTCGTCGGGGAGACCTAGTGCCCCCCCACACTGCCCACTTGACTCCTTGTACTTACCTGGACTCATAGGATTCAGTGTCTTGTTCCTGGACCTCTGATTGGCCACTCCAAGGTCACATGACCTTATTCCAGGTGCAGGGTGAAGAAACACTGGAGGGAGAGGTGGCTCTGCCACCTCCACTGGCATCATCCTAACCCCAGCCACCATCACCTCTTACCTGGCTCATCTCCCCACATCTGCTTTTAAAATTTCTACAACGAGTTTTTCTGCTGGACAGCCAGAGCGATCTTTTAAAAATGCAGACCTTATCAGGCTGTGCCCTTGGTTAAGATACTTCATTTTGCTTTCACTGCTCTTGGGAGAAAGACCCAAGACTATCATTCTACCTACTAGGTCATTTATGCTCTGCCTCTGTCTCTGTTTCCAGGCTCAGCTCCCTGACACGACCCCGCTCTGCCTCAGTTTCACTTCTTTGGAAAGCATGTCCTGTGCATGTTTGAATCACAGAGCCTTCGGAAATGCTTTTCCTCTCCCTAGAAAAGCCTTTTTCCTTCTTCTTATTTAACTAACTCGTATTCACCTTATAGACTATAGCTCAGATAGCCATCCCTCCCAGACTACATGAGAACCCGGTATTGTAAGCTATTGCAAGAAACGGAGAAATATTTTGTCAAAGTAGGGGTTAAAGGAAGACTATGAATAAGGAGCGCTTACAAGGTGCTAGTCATTGTACTCTTTTATATTTTTCATTTATCCCTTGCAAAAGCCTTTTGAGATGTCAACTATTGTCTCTATGTTTTTAATAAACCCAAGGAAACCTAAAGATACCAGGGGTGCCAAAAAATGTCTACAAGTGGACACTTTGGTCAGCGTTGCTCAAGCAGTAGTTCGCCGTCATCAGAAGTGTCTGGACGCTGATGGTCACCACTTTGAGCCCCTCTTGTAATGGCAGAAGTCAAACGTGACATGTTCATCTTTTGTTATGGGTATATATTGAGTATTACAATTTTAATACAGCTTTCCTTTCTTAAAATGTGTATACATTTTTTTGGCACTGTCTGTATTTGTCAGATGCTGATATCACAACAAGGGGAAACTGAGCTGGTCTCTCAAAAGGACATAGGAGCTCATGAAATCGGATTTCTGCACCAACCGGTACTGAGCTCCAGGTAAACCCTCGGCTGGGGCTGGCCTGCCACCAAGGCAGGGATGGGCAGGCTGATTTTCAAGATAAGAACAAGAGAAAGCTTCAGAGCCATCTTAGTAAAACATATACGTACCATTTCAGACAAAGAATAAGCATGATAATGTTGAAGTGAGAAACGTCCAAACCTGTAAAGAATTTATATAAACGTTGAGCCGAACTGACGCTGTATGCCAGGGAACAAGATCTCAGATGCTCCAGAGAATAACAGTTTTGCAGCTTCTTTTATGCATTTGGAATGGTGGGGGGTGGGGTGGGGGGATGTAAGGAAAGTTGGAGAAAGTCCAGAGTGGACTGGATTCCAGGATAGTTAACAAGATGATGTGCTCTCTTGAGGGTTCAGACCCCTTTTGAAAGGTTTTACATCTGGCATTTCAAAGGTGTGTTAACCTAGGTGCCCAGAAACAGGACAGGGCTGCTGGATGCAAAAATAAGCATTTTAATAAAGAAGTTACAGGCCTGGGGCATGATACCCACCATGACCTGCCCTGTTTGGCATTTATGATCAGATCACCCTGTGAGGTCACTTTCTGTAGAATCCCCTTTTTTCCTCCACCATAGCTACCTTGTGAATTTCTTTAACTTGTTAAATTTGCCAAGCTTGTCAGCCTGGTTGCTCAGAGTACATAGCAATACAATTCTTAAAGTAGAAGTGTGTGTGTGTTGAAAACAAGGGGAATCTTTCCCCAAGGGGAAAATCTCCCATTTGTTAACAGTTGTGAAAAGGGACCATGACCCGGTCAGTCCCTGGGGACTGAGGGAAGGACAGAGGGGTAGCTCAGGTGTCCCAGTGGTAGAAAACGGTGGCACCATCCCTGAACTTAAAATATCTGTTGGGAACCACATATTGTCTGCCCTGATGTCATGCAAGTGGGAAGCCCTTTGAGGGGGGTGTAAAACAGATGCTCTGATACCTTACGGGGGCGGAGGAGGGGGAACTGAGTCTCGTGGGATTCAGATTTGAGCAATAATTATTGAACAGCTGCTATGAGCGCAGCACAGTGAAAGATGGCTTCCCTTTAATTACCACATTCAAACCTCACAGTAACTCGGTGACACAGGTATTATCCCCATATTATGAATGAGACACTGAGGTTCAGGGACAAGACACACAAGCCACCCAGGACGTTCAGGACAGACTTGGAACTGGAGTCTGCTTCCCAATTCATGGGTTCTGTACAATACCACACACACACACACACACACACACACACACACACACACACACACACACAAAGCAATGAAAAGAAAACCCATTTTGTTGCAGACTGTTTCTTAGTGAGGTAATTTGATTTTTAAACCAGAATAATTGGGGATTAGAATTCGTGTTCCTTTGGTACTAGCTTGACATCCAGAAAATGAAGAAACATAATCCCTGACTCGAGGTTTCTTCTACTTTCAACACAGCATCATTTTGGGTGAGGCAGGGCTTACGATTAGGGTGTAACTATGACTTAAGGAAAAGGGGGGCTAGCAAGAGGAGCTTCAGAGAAAGTTCTAGCAACTTGAGATTTCTGCTCCTTCTTCCTAGCACCAGCTTTCAGTTTAGTTGTTTGCCTATAACACAGTACCTGTAACTCCATTCCTATCATCACTGACACACAGCTTTCTTCAATTGATTCAGAAGGAGAAATTCTAAGGTTGTGTCAGGAAAAGTAAAATCCAGGATTACTGAGAAATTAGACTAGGGTTGGGAGCGAGAAAAGGACGCAGAAGGGACAAAAGTTGCAAGTCTACCCAAGGCCTGCCCTAGGGACGATGATAGCAGCTGAGAAGGAAGTGTGACAATGCCATGATTTGTCAACAAAGGACAGACTGTTTGAACCTGGGGAGATGAGTGTGTGGAGAAGTCTGGACAGTACCTAGCAGGTACTGTCTGCAGCAGGGATTCACTGGCTCAAGGAGCTCTGCCTCAGTGTGTCTGAAAGTCTCAGGAGGATCCCAGGCCAGAGAAGCCCCAGGCGTGATTCCCGGGCAACCAGTTGTAGGACGAGTTTTGAGCAAAAGAACCGAACTTGTTTGGGTTCTGTGCTAACTCATGGACACCCCTCTTCCTTCCCTTCCCCATGTGCCATCTGCCTGCACCCTCTCACTGACCCCTCACCCCCACCCCCCTCCCACACGTCTCAGAGCTCCACCCAAGCCCGTCTTCAAAAACAATGACCTCTGCTTGGAATTTAGGCCACCTTTTCTAGTTTCTACCCCATCGGCTCTCAAGTGTCCGCTAAAATTTATCTTATCTAATCGTTGCCAGGAAAAGTAACTTGATTACTGACGAGTTCATCTAAGTCATTTCCATGATAAAAAAGGGACCTGTTAATCTGAAAGGCCATGGGCATTAATAAATGAATTTTACCAGATCTTTTAGACCCTTTATTTGTGGTTACTATTACTATATTTATATTAAGCAGATCTAGAGACAAGACCCAATTTTATTATCAAAGTGACACAGGATTACAAAGACTTAACCATTGTGTTGTCCCCTCAACATGCTCATGAGAAGCGTAAGCTTGATCTCCAAGAGCAGTCGTCTTGGTAAATAGCTGAACTTGAGAGGCTGTGGCAAAGTGGAGGAGGGATTGCTTGAAAACCGGCGAGTCCGACTGAGGCACTTCTGCGAATCGAGAAACAGAGACAGACACGCAGGATGGTTACCTGTTTTGTGGAAAATAATCCCTGTGGTATGTATAGCGCGTTCGAAATATGCTGAATTAGTAAAGAGTTCTCCTGGAATTCATTCAAAGATCTAGAAAACTGTGGATGAAAAGCAGATCTCAGCGGTCGAAGCAGATTAAGGAACGTTTTTGAATTGTCTGAACTTAATCTCAGTAGGAAGGTCAGAGAAAAGTCGCTGTCAGGATTGGGTCTGCTGTGCCCGCTGGGTGTCTGTCTCAGGTGTCTCCGTGGGATGGAGTGAACTGGATCATCTGGGCATGCTCGCCTATGTGTCTTCGCACATTAGAAGGAGCTTTCGTGGCATTCCCAGGGAGCACCCAGCATCCTGGCCGCGCACTGCCTCTTACTCCAGCTGCATTTACAAAAGAACTCAGTCATGGCAAAGAAATTGCAGTCCTCTTCCCACCTCTGCCATTCATCACCTGGCGAAACAATTTGGAGCTGGATTCAGCTTTTACTTTTGAACTTTATACTCCACCATGTTGTAATTACAGTGATCAAGTTTCCATTTTTAATTAAAAAAAAATAAAAAGAATGTTGCAATCAATGAAATGGCCACCGTCAGTTCTTGGAGAGCAAGGAGCACAACATGCAAAAGGAAATACAGAAGCAGGGACATTGCAAATGCTTTTTCGTGGTGGAATTGATGTTAACCAGATGATGTTGAAGCTTTAAGGCACTTTTAAAACTGGGTTTGAATCTTGACAAACACAAATCTTAAATATACACTGTCCGGTCAATCCACAAGCCTGATCCTCTATTATTTAATGGCAAACAATTGGAAAAGTGCTCAAATTAACACAATATACGACACAGGAGATTAATAAATATTTATTTTGTCTAGCCATTTTGACAAAAGGGCCTCCATAAACTTCTTTACTCTTTGTGTAGCCCAAGAAATGGTTAGACTAAATAAAATTTGTTCAGTTATAATCTATCATTGAACTGAAAATTGCATCCTTTACATGGTTGGAGAATCAAAGAATAGATGAACAAAGTGTATGCACCTGAACAGAATCTGAAAGCTTTTTATCTGGAAACACTGAAATGAATGACTACAGGAATGAACTGCAGCCAAGGATATGGTGGGTTTGGGGCAGAATTCACAGCTGTAAGGTGTATCCCTAAAATTGTTCCATTACTCAGAAATAGATTTTCCACACATTCAAATTTGCTCACTTGTTGCTTGTATTAATTGAAATGTCTTCCACCAATTAGCATACTGCTGAAGGTGTTTTAAAAATGGCCTGTTTATAAAAGTGGTTGGCACCACTGGAATTCAAAATGATGCCAACGGAATGCCATTTCAAATACAAATCCTTTTTCTTTTGGCAGCAGAAAAGAGCAGAGTCACACAGTAGCTCTTGATTTATGAACTGTGCTTTCTTATTCTGAGACTCCCATGATGTGTGCAGTTCCCTTTAAGGAACTGGGTTGGAAGCATTTAACAAGAAAACAAGCCTATCTCCAAATCTGCTTTTTAATTCGAAATCATATGGGCCTTTGATTATAACTGGTCCCAGTCTCATGCCTGGAGTGATCCGGTGAAAGAGTGGCGTTCTCAGTCCCGTGTCTCATTCAGTGACAGATCAGACTGGAACCTCCAAGGAAGGATGTATGCCGTGGACAAAATTTGTGGAAACCTTTTACATTTGACCTTCCAGTAAGCGTTTTCTCAGCCCTGGGCCACATCCTGAAATTATACAACTGTCTCCCCCTAAATATGGCTGAAGTGCTGACAAAGGATAGCATGTAACTACTCAAAGCAGACGGGGTGGCAGGAGGGTGCAGTGATGGGGGTGGGGGAGGGTCTGGGGGATGGACAGCGAAACTCATACACGCCTCGCAGGATTTTTTGGCCTTAAGCAGAGTGTCCATCTTCACAGTGGTCCACCAAACAAAGTGTTTATTGTAAAGTGGGCCTGATCCCCAGAGAGTGAGAAAAATGATTCCTTTTGACTGGAGGGAAATTAACTCTTTCCTCCCTTCAGCAGCCAGGAGAAGGCGCTGAATAAGAACTTAGTGATCAATTTCCTTGGTTGGTTTCAAGGGGTGGGGGGTGGTCTCAATGTCAGGAATAATAATCCTCATGCATTTTTCAGTGCAACAGAGTGGCAGGATCCTCTAGGACCACCTGAAGTGGTCCCTTCTTACACTCACACAGGTAGACTATGGGGAAAACGTATTCTAATCATTACCAAACCATTGAAATTGGGCTGCAGTGACTTCATAATTTGGCATAGAAATAACTAAAGACCTCTTAACATTGGATTTTTAAAACTTACTTTCAGACTTGAGCTGGGGAAGCCATTGGCCTATATACATGAATGCTAAACACGATAAGAACTGTATGTGCTGCCTTGTGTTGTTTTTTTTTTTTTCTTTAAAGACTGAATTGGGAGGAAGAAAAATGACTTTGCCTCGGCATGACTGTGGAAGCATCAGGGATACGCTGAAGAGTTGGAGGTGGCGGGGGGGGGGGGGTCCATTGGAAGTCTGCTCCCTTTAAGAGGGAAATAAGATTAGCAACTTTGGCAAATTGTCTGCATCTATTCAGAGGGAAAGAGAAGAGCTTCCAGTGCCAAAAAGAAAAAAAAAAAAAAAGGATGGATGTTATGAGACAAAGGCACAAGCAATTTTATACCTTATTGAAAGCTGAACTGGGAGTGGTTTTAACTCCTCTGGGGTTAAGAAAGATTTTTTTCCCCTCTCTAGGCTGAAGGTAGAGCTAGGGTAAAGGAGTTGAATCTGAAATAGTGTCCCTATCAGTTGTGTTTGGTCCTGGGAAGTACACGGAAGAAGAACCTTGGTGGGAGAGCGAGGAAGCCACGGGTGCTGAAGGTGAGGGACTACTTATTATAGCAACCAGTCTGTAAGTTACATTGTGACATGAAGGTAGAAGCTCTTAATTGCCTCCTTCTTTTAAGGGGAACCATCTGATTTAAACAGAAAGCTTGTAAGACTGCTAGACAAATGTCTGAATTATATTTTGTATTTTTACATTATTATTGTGTTTTCTAAATGCCCTCATGCTGGGAGAGTCTACAAAAGTAAGACAATTTTTCTTTTTTTAATGTCAGCTCAGAAAAGTAACCAGGCTTCATTCGGGATAAGCATAGTGTTTACTCAAGCCTTACGCATTTATAAAAATGTTATTGACTCTACTTGCATATTTTGTTCCTGCAATGACCGAGTTGAATTCTAAACTGAAATGAGTATCAACACTGAGTCTCGGGAGGGTTCAAATGAAGTCTTAGCGATTTCGGATGGCACAGAATTGCTTCAAATTCGGCAAAAGCCTATAAAAGGTGGAAACTGAAAGCTAGAGCTGAAAGTGTGTTTCATTTTCTTTCTGTCAGGTTTTAACTGAAAGCCCAGCCCAACAACAGGCCACACGCCCGGACCCACTGCTGCTCCAAAGCGCCCCCGGGGGGCCCAAAGGGCGTAGGGAAAAATGAGCTACTACGGCAGCGGCTACCCGATCGTGAGCGTGGACGCCAAGTTCCCCGGCTACCCGCCCGAGCACATCGTAGCCGAGAAGCGAAGAGCCAGGAGACGCCTGCTGCACAAGGACGGCAGCTGCAACGTGTACTTCAAGCACATCTTCGGCGAGTGGGGGAGCTACGTGGTGGACATTTTCACCACCCTCGTGGACACCAAGTGGCGCCACATGTTTGTCATCTTCTCCCTGTCTTACATCCTCTCCTGGCTGATATTTGGCTCCATCTTTTGGCTGATCGCCTTCCATCACGGGGATCTGCTCGACAACCCAGACCTCACGCCCTGCGTGGACAACGTGCATTCCTTCACGGGGGCGTTCCTCTTCTCCCTGGAGACCCAGACCACCATCGGGTACGGCTACCGCTGTGTCACGGAGGAGTGCTCGGTGGCGGTGCTCGCGGTCATCCTCCAGTCCATCCTAAGCTGCATCATCAACACCTTCATCATCGGCGCCGCCTTGGCCAAAATGGCCACGGCCCGCAAGAGGGCCCAAACCATCCGGTTCAGCTATTTCGCGCTCGTGGGCATGCGGGACGGGAAGCTGTGCCTCATGTGGCGCGTCGGGGACTTCCGGCCCAACCACGTGGTGGAAGGCACCGTGCGCGCCCAGCTCCTGCGCTACACGGAGGACAGCGAAGGGCGGATGACCATGGCGTTTAAGGACCTCAAGCTGGTCAATGACCAGATTATCCTCGTCACGCCGGTCACCATTGTCCATGAGATCGACCACGAGAGCCCTCTGTATGCCCTTGACCGGAAGGCAGTGGCCAAAGATAACTTTGAGATTTTGGTGACGTTCATCTACACCGGCGATTCCACGGGGACGTCCCACCAGTCCAGAAGCTCCTATGTCCCCCGAGAAATTCTCTGGGGTCACAGGTTTAACGATGTCTTGGAGGTCAAGAGGAAGTACTACAAAGTGAACTGCCTGGAGTTTGAGGGCAGCGTGGAGGTGTATGCGCCCTTCTGCAGCGCCAAGCAGCTGGACTGGAAAGACCAGCAGCTCCACACTATGGAGCGAGCCCCGCCGGTCCGAGGAGCCGGCCTGGCGGACACCAGGGTCCGAAAAAGGTCCTTTAGTGCAGTCGCCATTGTCAGCAGCTGTGAAAGCCCGGAGGAGACCGCCACTTCTGCCGTGGATGAGTGTAAGGAAACGCCTTATCAGAAAGCTCTCCTGACTTTAAATAGAATCTCTGTAGAATCCCAAATGTAGCCCCAGATTGCAATTGCGAGGGCTCCCACCCAATCATTTCGCTATCCAGCCAATCGCCTGAAGGCAAGTAGTTGTAAACAGGGCTGTAAAAGAATGCGATAGGTATGTTTGATGCTGATGGAGGATAAGCAGAGCAGGTTAAACATGATCAATGATGATTTAAAAAATTACCTAGTACCCAATTGTTTAAACTTTGTCTTCTTGCTAGCGATTTTTTGTGTTAGGGGTGCTAGTAAGAGTCTAATTGATTAATATAAATTTCATCTCCTTTTATTATTCTATATACTTGTATCTTTAGTTGGCGGTGTAATATTTAATAATGGGAAAGCAAGGTAGGATAGTGGAATAAATAAAAATAGGACAGACAACCAGCATGAATAATAAACATTTTAATGTATCAAGATTGATAGTATAATGAGTGGTTTCCCATAAAAACATCATATCACCTAACCGAGATATACACGGCATGCATTCAATAAATTGTAAAGTTGAGATATTTAACTGTGGTATCGACTAGCCCGTTCATAGTACTATGTTTACCCCTTATAGGGTCTTGGTATCAGCAGACAGAGTTAGTGGCTGTAAGAAACCAATTGAGACAGTTCTTCCACAGCCACTTGCCCAGGTCATGATCAATGAGTGCCAGAAGCTATTTTCTCTCTCACCCATGAGGCAGGAGCAAAGTTATATTATTATGCAGAGCAGTATTTCTCTCTGAAATGCCCTGATTAGCTCTAGCAAATGGCTTTATGTGGAAGAGCAGAAAGAAGGCAACCCTGACCTTTGTAGGTTCTCTGACGAGGGGGCTTTTGATGCCCACCTTCCAGCTTCTCCAAGGATGAGATGAAGGAACAGAATCAGAGAGATGGGGTGACAGAATGGATAATGATAAACACTCTGAGACTCTATGGAAGAAAACATGTGCACGTCTTCTGCCAGCTCTGGCTGGTTACATAGGGATAGAACCTTTTCTAGGGGAGTTTGGGGAGAGCAATAGGAAAGGTATGTATTTGTGCCCAGAAGCAGTTATGTATGCCACCTGCCTTGGTCACTTTACAAAATATAAGTGACTTGAATTGTGGACGTTAAGAAACGCTTCCATTGAACTTGGAACAATCATTTAAATTGAAGATTTGGGTTGTCGGGAAAATCATGATGTATTTTTCTATGTTTTTCAATGCAAAAATGCGTCATGACTTTCCCGACGACCCAGTATAATTAAGGAGATTTTAATGTATATTATTAACTGGAGAAGCTAAGGGTTATAGAGTTGCTTACGTCTGAGGCCCTGAGATCCATCTGTCTACTCTGTTTCCATGTTAGACGATGTTAATTATGATTACTTTAAGCACAAATTCAATCACTTTTGAGTGAAGAGTCACTTTAAGCTTTATAAATTGACGTTATTAGCTACATTCAGAATTACCTGTGTTTTTTTAACATTGTTGCTGAGTTGACAATAATTATTTGCTACAGTTTTTAATTTGCTTCATTTAAATATGTACCCACACATAGTTTTTATCTCTCCATTTGAATTAAGCATACAAGTAAATTGAACTGAATCACATAATTCAAGATTAGCAATAAAAGTAAAATACATAGGTATAGGTATGTAAAGTGTTTTTCTTTTGTTTTGCATCTTTTTCCCCCTTTTTTCCTTCCTCCTTTTCCCTCTTCCTTCTCCCTCCCCCGAACCCTCCCTTTTTTTCTTCTTTCTTTTCCTTCTGTCTTCCTTTTGCCTATGAGCAACAAAGTTATTTTTAAATGCTCATGTGCAAATCTTTTATTCCTGTTGTTTTCAGGATCAGAGATTTGTTCAGGTTACAAGCTGCAAAACTGTCTGGAAGCTTAACACCAGATATAAATATGCATTTTTTCTGACTTGCTTCAGGAATGCAAAATCCATGTGTAAATTACACTTTGCACTGTAGATTTGGATTTTGTAGCGGAAATGACTCTGTAGAATCAGAGTACTACTACCTACTACGTAGAAAACAACCACCACCACAAACAAACATGCCCCCGCCCTTAGCTTGCTCCAGCACATCTAGTATCTTTTCACTTTCCTTTGCTTCCTGGACCCTGCCTACCTGTATCTTGCTTCGTGAGTATCAGAATTGAGGCGTCAATATTTAATAAATACATTCTGTTGTCAAATCATCTTACCCAGGATAGAGTGTAAACTCGGCACTCCCATGTACTATTTATCTCTAATTTTCTGTTTAGGTTTGTAACATACACGGACACCCCAATGAGTTACTTGGTAATAAAGATCTTCAAATAATGCCAAAGGTGTGTATTCCAGGTGTAAACCCTGTGGATGTGGTCAGCATCAGGTACAGGGCACCAAAAATGAGGGTGCCTCCTCACAGAATTAGGACATTGGCACAATTATGAACCATTTTTATGGGTTTAGAACAGCTTGTAGAAAAGCTGTATCCAAATGAACAATTAAGTGCTCCTGTCAGCATTGCAACATGAAGGTTCTGTGCAAAATTGCGTTTCTAGCTTCAAATGCTCTGTCCGGGGTGAGAAGTAAGTCAAATATATATATTTTCTCTGATGGCATCAATTTCTCCCTGAAGATGACATTATTTGGTGAACTTAATTAGATGGAAAAACAAATTGTGACATCAAGGCATTGCTCCGCTGTGTTGTAGCCTGTGAGCGAGCCCTTGAAGAGTGAGGGAGCACAGGGACAGGGAAGGAAGTGCCGTTTTCATGGACCACCAGAGCATCAAGCTTTATGAGGTGTTTCGCACAGATATACTTAATCCTGACACCAAAACAGTGGGGTGGATATTTTAAATTTCCATGTCATCAAATATCTCATTCTTTGCTTCTTCCTGGCTGACAGGGCCCCCACTGGGACAACAGCAACATGCCCAGGTTTAAAAAAAAAAAATCACAATGATGCTTTGGGGTCTCCCTCGCATGCACTTGTGCTTATGTGCATGGTGCTAACCCTTGAGATGTCATCAGAACTCTCTGGATGTGACCTTTCAGAAAGCTCTTTTACTGGGGCTGACCTAGCTGGCACATGTCCTTTCATTCCCCGCGTACACCCTTCTCCTCACCTAGACCTCACACTTGGTAGCTGAAGCTCCTGCAGCCATCTTGTGAGGATGAGACACCCCTTTCGGAGGGAAACAGGGGAGAAAAGAGTGCAACCCGACACTGCCTGTCTCCAAACTTCTTCTGCGTGAGTGAAAAGAAACATGATTTCTGACTGACACAGTGAGTGATCCCCCCCTGGGCAATTATGCAGGGAAAAAAAGGGCTGGTAAGGAAAAAAAGATGTCCGCGTTAGGTCCAGCTCGTACACGGCATTTGATGCCGTTGGTTTCTGTGGAAACCACATGTTTTTCTGGGGAGCTGAGGAAATGCCACGATTATTGTAAAACAAACACAAAAGAATCACTTTTGGCCTGGAAATCCCTGTGACACACTGACGTCTGAGTGACCCTGATAAGAGGCTTGACCGTCTGTCCCACTGCCCTTACCTTTTCCCTTCCCTCCCACAGAAGGGCATTCGTGTTCTAATGGGACTGTCACTGGGATTGGGGACCTGAGATCCACCAAGACTTGGAGAGCCAGCACTGTGCAGCTGGAGCGGTGCTGGAGACCCCCAGGGAGACTTCAAGCGGACTCTAAATATGTACCAAGGAACCTTCACCCTTACTTTACACGTTTGTGTTTTTTTGTTACTTCTGGGTTGGCCAGGATATGTGCAAAGTAGATGGGTTAGGCAACTCCTATTTAAAAGATTGGGCACCAAATTAAACTATTCTATTAACTCCACTCATTCTAAGCCTTGGTTCTCCTGCTCTGAGTGGTTTGCAAGGACGAATGGAAGCCCCTGTGTTTTTGGAAGGTAAGTGTTGCCCCTACACACCCTGGGTACTGTAGAAATCACGAAACCCTGCCTTCATTCCAGATTTGGTGTGGCCTCTCTCTCGCTCTCACTTTCATTTTTAAAGGAGCAGTATGACCCATACCCCTGGAGAAAATAAGTTTGGGCCCCACACACAGAACTCAAGTGGGGAAAACCCAGACGCCCAGATGAAGCAGCAGGGAGGCCCTTGGCAAATTCCCTGCAAAGATTCTTCTGGATCTGAGGTCTTTGAAAATGAAAGCTAGTAACTGAGATTCAATTCAGAGAAATCATTGGGCAGAGAGCAAGCAAGGCCTCCTCCAGGGGCCTTTTCCTGGAGAGACAGAGTCACAGTGCTGCTGGGAAGACCTCACAGGCCTGCAAGGCTCTGCAGCTTTTCTTCAGTCAGTAAAACCTTATGTCCCACTGAATTCTCATGTCCTTCTTTCGCTTTGGTTTGCTTCGGCAACTTCACAGAGTCCTCTCAGCACTGTGTGGTTGGGTCATGAGATCTGGCTGGGGGCAGGCAGCATCTTGCTTCATCGTGTCACCCCACACTCCTTTCCTCAGGGAAAGTCCATGCCTGTGGTTGCAGATCTTTTGTGCAGAGTTTGGAGACTTCATCAACATGGCTCAATGTTTTCAAGTTCAATAGACTCTTAGTAGCTGAGTACCTAGCAGCCTTTTACGGTTTGGTCTCGATGGCCTTTTGCTGTTTGGTCTCGTTGATGGATGCTGTTTTATAAATACTGCAAAGGAACAAAGCATACTGGATCCCGAGTCTATCTGTCATCCCCAGAAAAAGCAGCTGGACTGAGAGGGAGGGTCTCCTCAATCAGTAAGGTAACCTGAGCTGGATAGTCACTGAAGTCAAGGCCTTGATGGAAATTTGGGACCCTCTGCAGGCTACGGAGAGGCAGGTTAATCATTTAAAGTTCTCAGCAAGCCCGGAGGATGAAAACCCAAACAGATAGATTAAGTCTTGCTAAATTACATAGCCAAAGAATGCTTTTTCCTCTATGCTGTCATTGACCACAGGGCCCCTAAAACATCTTTAATCACTATCTAAGGAACTGGAACTTGAGACAGAAAGAGCCCCAAGAGGTTTAGCCCCTGTGGAAACTTCTTTACAGAAAGTTATCAGAAACCTTCAAATTTCCACATAAAATACTTCAGTCGCATGCACGATGCACTGGGGCTCTTTCTTTGAATTAGAAGCACATGTTGTAAATCCATTATTTATCGTGCTGCCTGTTGATTCTATCCGATACCACTTGGCCGGGGGAGGGGAGGCTAGCCATAGGGGCCAGGGTAAGGACAGCGCTAACCTCTGCCAGCTGCCAATTCCAGAACCGAAATTTTTTTTTCGGATATTAGCTCATTTAATCAGATTCCATTTTACATATGAGGAGCCCTCCACCTTAGAGGAGTTCTGTGCCCCCAGAGAGAGACACAGCCACCAAAGAAGGGACAGCAGACAAAAGACACACAGCTACCAAAGGCCAGCCCAAAACTCTTTGAATCGCCACAGGTGATAAACAGCCCTGATGGTGCCCGAGGTTGAGCATTTTATTCCATAATCATTCAATGGGAAAAGCCATCATTTCAAGACCCTTTGAGAAATAAAAGCCTGTTCTTTTCTAGACCTTAACTTTGTGAGGGTGGAGCATGGATAAGGGGGCAAAAAGTGAGGGAAGCAGCTGGTAAGAGCAATCATGAAGGAGAATAATCTTGTCGAAATGTAAACAAAAATTATGGTATTAAAAACAAACAAACAAAAGGCTCGCCTTTGCTCAGGGCAAGGCTCAGGCACAGGGGGGCCCACCCCTGTGTATCGATGCCCGGTCTCCACGCCTCTCACTTTGCGTGCGGAAACGTTTGGTCCTGTGGCACGACCAGCCTTAGGGAATCAGCACACACGAGTGGTGGCACTTTTCCTGGTGAGGCAGGACCTGCGAGGAAAGGAGCCCAGCCTGAGAGGGTCACAAAACCCCAGGCTGACCACAGGTGCTCATCTCAGTGATTGCGCAACCTGAAGCAACTTAGCCGGCGTTTCTGATTCCCAGCCCCCGTATGTACGGCTTGCCTCGCTGTAGGAAGCTGTGATGCTGAGAACAGGCTTAAGAACCAGGCTGCCTAGGTTTGGATCGTATTTCTATTGTGTGACTTTCTATTGGCTCTATTTCTGTGTGACTTTGGGCATTTCACGTAACCTCTCTGTGCCCCCTGCTTTCTCAACTGTGAAGTGAGGAAAATAAGAGTACTCACCTCACAGCTGTTGTGAGAATTCGGTGAGATAATATTTGCAAAGTGCTTGGAACAGTAGCTGGCGCATAATGAGCGCTGATCAAGTGCAAGGTGTTATTATTACTGCCAGCAGCAAACTTCATCTCTTTAAGTGTTGTGTCCATTAATTTACAGTCCATAACCTTTAACATTGACTTGAGCCAGAGAGAGAGAGAGAGAGAGAGAGAGAGAGAGAAGCATACAGTAGCAGGAATATAAATTATTGCCATCCAAATGTAAAGGATTTTTGTACTATCTTACCGAAACCATTTTGGATTACATAAAGCACACTTTCTCCATTGTGTGAGGCATTGGGGTTCAGTAACATGGTGTTTTGAGAATAAAATATCGATTCTAAGATACACAGAAGGCTTAGTGAATTCGCCTAGACAGAGGAGAAATCAGACCTTACGTCCTATGGGATACTCCCCCTGCGTAAAC